TTGTGGGAAAGGTTTCAGTAAGAATTCCAACCTGGTGAACCATCAGAGGACTCACACAGGAGAGAAACCCTTTGAATGTCCTGTTTGTGGGAAAGGTTTCAGTAAGAATTCCAACCTGGTGAACCATCAGAGGACTCACACAGGAGAGAAACCCTTTGAATGTCCTGATTGTGGGAAAGGTTTCAGTAAGAATTCCAACTTGGTGCGCCATCAGAGGACTCACACAGGAGAGAAACCCTTTGAATGTCCTATTTGTGGGAAAAGTTTCAGTCAGAATTCCAACCTGGTGAAACATCAAAGGACTCACACAGGAGAGAAACCCTTTAAATGTCCTGTTTGCGGGAAATGTTTCAGTCAGAATTCCAGCCTGGTGAGCCATCAGAGGACTCATACAGGAGAGAAACCATTTGAATGTCCTATTTGTGGGAAAGGTTTCAGTCACAATTCTGTCCTGGTGAACCATCAGAGGACTCATTCAGGAGAAAAACCCATTGAATGTCCTATTTGCGGGAAACATTTCAGTCAGAATTCCAGCCTGCTGAGCCATCAGAGGATTCACACAGGAGAGAAACCCTTTGAATGTCCTGTTTGCAGGAAACATTTGAGTCAGAATTCAAGCCTGGTGAGTCATCAGAGGATTCAGGAGAGAAACAGGAAGATTCACACAGGAGAGAAATCCTTTGAATGTCCTCTTTGTAGGAAAAGTTTCAGTCAAAATTCTGAGTTGGTGAGACACCAAAGGATTCACACAGGACAGAAACCCTTTGAATGTCCTATTTGCAGGAAAAGTTTCAGTCAGAATTCCCACCGAGTGAACCATCAGAGGACTCACACAGGAGAAAAACCCTTTGAATGTCCTGTTTGCAGGAAAAGTTTCAGTCAGAATTCCAGCCTGGTGTGCCATCAGAGGACTCACACAGGAGAAAAGCCCTTTGAATGTCCTGTGTGTAGGAAATGTTTCAGTCAGAATTCTCACCTGGTGAACCATCAGAGGACTCACACTGGAGAGAAACCCTTTGAATGTCCTGTTTGCGGGAAAAGTTTCATTCAGAATTCCAGCCTGGTAAGACATCAGAGGACTCACACAAGAGAGAAACCATTTGAATGTCCTGTTTGTGAGAAAGGTTTCAGTGAGAATTCCAGCCTGGTAAGACACCAGAGGACTCACACAGTTGAGAAACCCTTTGAATGTCCTG